AACAAGTGCCTTACTAGTAGTAACAAGGTTCGCTACTAGAAACAAGTGCCACGCTAGTAGTAACAAGTGCCTTACTAGTAGTAACAAGAAGCTATTAATTTAGTTTAATTCTAATAGCTTTTTGTTACTACTAGTAAGGCACTTGTTATTGCTAGCGTGGCACCTGTTACTAGTAGTAACAATGGTTGCTAGTATTTTTTCGCCGGGGGGGGGTAGGCCGCTAGGAAGGAGGTAGGTAGTAGCTATGTAGCTACTGGACTTCTTCCAAGAAGCTCCCCAAATCCCAGGCGTTGCGCAATCAAGAGCAAGGTGTGGCTTGTATTTCATTGGCAATGTGGAGTGCTTGCGTTCAGCCAACCACTGGAGAGAGCTGTTGGACATGCTACAGGAACGAGGATGCGTTGGAGACCAGTTTCCGCAAAGATGTCCGCGACATCCTCACATACAGAACTTTGCCACGGAAGCAAATGAAGTTGGTCACTTGCAGGTCTTTCAGTGTTGTGTTGTTTTTTTAAGGCACCCATGCTGGAAGATGCTCAGACCTATTTGGGGGGGATTGTGCGTCCTGGGCCGACGCACACACGGATCACATAGCCCAGGCTTTGTGTGCAAGCAACTGTGCGGGAAGGCCTTCGGCTGTGGGATTGCTGATCATGTGTGCAAGCGCCAATGTCACCCCGACGAAGGGAGTCACCATGCTGACAAGTGCGTCTATACCGTGCAGAAGACCTATCAGTGCCACGAGTCGCCGGCCCACGCCCCTTGGTCTTGGTGGGTAGGCCGAAGCGGCAGAGTAGGGTGGCAGAGTTGGAACAAGGAAACAAAATCCAAGGAGTTGGAGAAATGTTTGCTGCGCCTCGGATTCTGACTCAATTGGAATTGAGGAGCTAAAGATAGTTAAAGCATTGGTTTGTGGTGAGAAATTGTTTTGGAAAATGGATTTTTCCGGATGCATGTTGGCTGTGTTGGGGGGTAAGTACAGTTGACAACAACTACTGTATGCCTTTTTGGCCTGCGGTTCATTTTGATACTTCTTCACACAAACTGCTGCGCGTATACTGGGTATTTATGCAGCCATGTCTTTACAAGTGAAACACCGCATGCCCAATACCACAGCATGCGAAGATTTCATGTTTTGGTGTCAAAGATTCGCAGCCAAAAGACGACTCTCTGTACAGTCCAAACTGGCAAAAGAACTGATGGTTTTCAGGGTTGGCCCCAAATCCGTATATACTCTCCTTGCGAAGACCCCCTTCTTTCTGGCTCTTTTTGCTCAGAATGGAATCGTCATCTATATATTGAAAGCATTGCGCAGAGCAAGGCCAGAAGCAGATCCTCAGATCACGGTGTCGCTTCCGCTCGCTGAGGTCTTTGAAACACCTTGCAGGATCGAAACTGAGAGTCAACCGTGCCCATTCATCGAAAAGCTGCGGTGCAAGCGTGGTTGCCACACACTCAAGCGGATGTGTGGGCAAAACACCGAGTCACTTGTGAATGGTTGCACGAACCGTTGCCCCACTCAACTGGCATGTGGACATGAATGTCCCAATCGGTGTTTCTCGGAGAAAAAACGGTGACTGACCCGTGGAGGGACTGACCTGACTTGTTGAAGGGACACCACCCGGTGTTTTGGTGTATTTTCGTGCTTGAGCCTTCAAGGGTGAAATGTACTAGGCAACCAAACAGAGACCATTTCAAAATTGAAGTGTCTCTTTTCGTGATACGCAGCCTAGGTTCACAAGTGTGCGTGCAGGACGGAGACTGTCAAATATTGAAACGCTTTGACTGCCCTGTGTGCCCCGATCACAAGAAGATTTGGAGCGAATGCAATTCCTCTGCTCAGCAGGTGGCTGCCAAATGCAAATCCAAATGCAGCAAGTTGTTGGCTTGTAAACATCATTGCAATGAGCTGTGCAGCGAGGAATGCACGACCCGATGTGAGAAACGCTGCAAAAAGCTGCTGGAATGTGGGCACTTGTGTCCCAACAAGTGCTTGGAAGAGTGTGGCAAAGTCTCTGATTGCAAGGTGCTGAAATTGTTCGATTGCCCGGCCTTTCCTCGTTTGCATCGGAGGATACAAAGCGCATGCAATTCCAACCAGGCAGAGCTTGCGATGCAATGCGAATCTCGTTGTAGTCGGCAACTGGATTGTGGGCATCCTTGTGGTGAGAAGTGTTGTGATCCGTGCACGAAGCAGTGCGAGATGCCATGCCCAAAAAAGCTGGCTTGTGGGCACTTGTGTCCCCAAAAGTGCTCGGAAGAGTGTGGCAAGGTCTCTGATTGCAGGGTGCTGAAATTGTTCGATTGCCCGGCCTTTCCACAATCGCATCGCAAGATACAAAGCGCATGCAATTCCAGCCAGGCAGAGCTTGCAATGCAATGTGAATCTCGTTGTAGTCGGCCACTGGATTGTGGGCATCCTTGTGGTGAGAAGTGTTGTGATCCTTGCACCAAGCAGTGCCAGATGCCATGTGCTAAAAAGCTGGAATGTGACCTGTCAAATTTAGGATGATTTTTGATTCTTTGTCCTTGGCTAATATGCGCCTGCATTCTCGTCCGGATGAACTATGAATGTGGCCCTCCGCAATGAAGGTCAATGACCCAAACATTTAGGTATATTACCTTTCTTTATCCAGCATGAGTGGGAAATGACGTGGCAGAGCAACAAGCTCAAAAGGCATTCTTGACTCATTTGTTGCACCAACAAGGACCGCCCAAACCCCCGCCATTCTGTCCGACCGGTAGAAACCAACAGGTCGACCCGTGGTCTCACCGTGGTGTTTTTGGGTCGAAAATCCTGGGTTTTTCCTCCCGAAAAGAATGGTGAAAAAGGTGGGCACCCATGTCCACAGAAGTGCTGGGAGAGTTGTCCGAGGGCCAGTTGCAGAGCGCTTTGCGGCCGGCCTTGTGGGCAGCTTGGAGCTGCAGGAAGAAACGCGCCCGTCGCGCCAGTGGCGTCCGTTTCAATGGAAGGCTGGTTTTGTGGGGAAGAAGCACGGAAACAAAAGCAAAGATGCAAAACTGCCTGCCGTGGCTTCATGAGTAGGTCCCTGTGGCCAGGTTTTGAGGGATTCAGCAGTTGGCCGGAACTGACCCTTACATGTCCAGCTTTCTTTCTCGCACCGACTTCCTTTTACCGAGGTCTTGTGGACATGCGTGTGAAGAACGCTGCTGCGACCCATGCAAGTGCCTCCAACCCTGCATCAGGGACCTGGACTGTGGACATGTTTGTGGTATGAAGTGCCATGAAGCATGCAAGTGCATGATGCCAAAGAAAGTGCTATGCACCTTGGCCTTCGCGCGCTTTTGGCTGAAGGGCTCACAGAGAGAGAGAGGGAGAGGGAGAGTGCGGGCGTGCGCACAGCGTGCGATGTGCACAAACCGATTGTCGCCTGTATGGAGTGGTTCTTAACTTTTCTATCTATTGAGGTTCACTTTGGGATAGGTAAATTCTAAATAGATGCTCGAAAAATTCGGTATCCGAGCCATTTGTTTCCCAGTCGTGTTTATGAGTTCATTTCCGCTTCCAGGGACTGACGCGGCGTGGGCTACTTGGATCCTTCCCACTGGCTGGCCTTTTTACAGTCCCACACATGTTTTTGTAGATCATGACCTGTAACAAGCCGGAGTGGACCTTCAGTGAGGTACCATATAGTACTAAGGTGGACAAAGGCTCTAGGATTGTTCCTTGTTTGGGTTTGTTAATGTCACTGGCTGAGGAAAGATAATGGCATAGGCCTCTCAAAAAAGTTTCTCCTATGGGGCAACTATCAAGGGCGAGCAGTAAAACGCACTGGTTACATATGCTTCATTACGGGTGTAATGAAATAGGGAGACCTCCCAGTGCGACCCCCCTGGAAGAAGGAAAATAGACCAAAACTCATTGGTTGGGTGTCTCCTAGCCAAATCCACGCCCATATATGCATGTTCTGTAGAGGTCGTATGCACCCTTTGCAGTAGTTCTGCCACGATTCAGTGAAACCGCCTTTTCGGCCAACCGCTGAGGCCAGCGAACGACAGGAAGACCCCATGAAGTGCAAGGCCTTTGTGGTGAAACTTGGTGAATATGGCGTGTTGGTTTTGGTTTCTGGTGCTGATAGAGGATCTGGGCCAAACATGCATGGAGGATCTGGGTTCACGAAGTTCGGTGACGTTCCCTCCCAACTGAGAGTTCACACTGTGGACCTGATCCTGCAACTGCTCCTACCATGTCCAGCATGTCCACCATGTTTGGGTGTCCACCTATCAAGAGAGAAAGGGAAGCGAGAGGAGTTGCAGAACCAGATCACCAACGGGAAACAGTCACCGCTCGAGCTCGAGCCTTTGCCTCAACTTCATCCACCGGCCGGAGGGGAGGGATGTTCGAACGCACTGAAGTGGTCACGTATGTTGCACTGAAGTGGTCACGTATTGTTTGGTCACCACGTCAGAATTGGACACCAAGTGGTCTTCAATGCTCCCTCTGAAAGCGCCCTTTGACGTCGAGTTCGGATGCTCCCAGCGAGTGCATGGCCGCCTTTTTCAGGAACGAGACGAGGACATTGCTTCACGCTGTCAAGAGGCTTGCGGCGAAATGTTGCCATGCATCTCGGCTTCGCATTCTTTGAGCAGATTCTTTGAGATCTGAAGCTTCGGATTGTCGCGCTGATGCTCTGGAGACTTCGATGCGCGATGGATACATTCCACCTAAAAAACACGCAGGGTGATGTGCCGGGTGCCAGTAGAGTCCAGGGGGATGCAATGATCTCACAAACAAGGTGGTCAGTGAGGAGGAAGTGGGGTGAGCACGTTTGGAGTATATAACCGTGTCCGTTGCCGTCAGGGTTTGTTAATGTCTTTCTCCCCTGCCATCCGAGTGTGAGGCGGTCACACTTGCAAGAAGACCTGCAGTGCGTGTATGCCACATCAACCGGCTGAGTGCAATGAACCTTGCGGTGTCTTGGCCAATGAATTTCAGTCGCCTATATAGCTCAGAGCTCTTATTTTACCATAACCGCAATCAGGCCCGCAAACTAGGGTGTGTTGAGATGAGATGTCCTTTTTCACCTTAAGATGTGACTTTCACCGTTACTTGGGGACAGACATGTGAGAAAGACGGGTCACGGGTCATCCGGAAATTCCAAATTTTGCAATCGATACATACCAATACACCATGGTTGCTGATGGTTGATGCTGATGTGATGATTTATTTCCGCCTTCTGCTTCAGTCTGCTTCTGCTCTTTTCGCTCGGTTGCGAGCTGCTCCACTGCGCGACCGTCACCGCCGACAGCGCCCGCCCGCCGCGTGGTGTCGGTGCCCCGTCGGTGAGGTCGGGATCTTCCGTGTGGCCATCCCTGTGACCGTCCCTGTGGAGAATGTGAGACCACTTGTGGTGCCTGCCTGAGATGCACGAAGCCTCCAGCGCCCAAGGCGGACGAAGATGTTCCATCGACCAAACTCTTGGCTCACAAAGACAAAAAGATATGAAAAAGTGAATGCTGTTGCTTTTTGGGGGCCAATATGTCCCAATCTTCTTGATCGAAGCAACCTGAAGGCCATGCCCAAGCCGGCGACCAAGCGGATGCCCCGACCTGCAGCGGAGGCACCCCGACCTGAGCCGCAACCCGAAGTGCCTCGAGCCGCGCCGCGACCAGAATTGCCCCGGCGCAGGGTCGTTGATGACCGCGAAGAAGCAGGCACCGAGGAAACAAAATCGGAATTCCACATATTTGTGGGGATGGTGAGTGGAAAGGTCAAGGAACGATGTTCGAAGAAACCTTTCAAGGTGGAGGTATAGACTCCGTAGAGATTCAGGTGAGGTTGTTTGTGCTATTAGGAACAAGAAGCTACTAGGGGCTCCTGGCCTCACTACGAACGGAGCAAGGACGTGACGAATGGGGCTCCTGGCATCGCTACGAACGGAGCATTCTTGCTACTAGTAGCTTCCTTGTTACTAGTAGTAAGGCCAGGAGCCCCTAGTTGCGTCCGATCGCTCCTAGTAGCGATGCCTTTTGCTACGAACGGAGCATCGCTACGTCCGACCGAATCCGGCGAACCGACCGAGTCTCGATGCCCACGAGGTCCGGCGCCTCGACGCCGCGACGACCGACGCGGCCACGAACGCCGCAGAGCCTCACCTCACCGCGAGGAGCGAGCGAGGAAGCCGTGGAGAGGACGGGATCGAGGACGAAGAGGATGAGATGCCGATGGGTCCAAGAGAGGCTTTTGGCTTTGCTGAAATCACCGCCGGGGAAAAACACAGCGTCTCTTGGTTTGGTGCAGGGATGGATGGATTTTAGCGCTTCCAAAGATGAACGCTGACGTTAGACTCGTTCGCCGACCGCTTGAAAAAAAACAGCCACGCCTCGGAGACTTGGCAACCCGTGGACGGTGAGACGTCGCTGCTGTCAATGCGGTTGGCCCGCCTCACATGGGTGTCATTGACTTTACCCTGCCGACTGAAGTCTGACGATCTTTTGACCGACTGAAGTGTTCAGGAAATTCCTAGACTTCGGGTCACCTAAAGACCGTTATGTTTATGGTCTTTGACTCCCAGGGTATAAGGGCATTTCATCCAAGAGTGTGACAATGGGGTTTTCCGCGGAACGTCCAACAAAGCGATACCTCGATACGTCCAACTTAGTTCCTTAGTTCCTTGAGTTTGTTGACGAAACATTGTAAAACGATGCGGGAGCTCCTAACTTTGAATGAATACAGAATACAGCGGACGAGCAAGTAAATCAATGAGAACACTCACATGCATATTGAGTGAGCCAACAAACTCAAGGTGGTTGGTACGTAGTGCGAAAAAATAACAGTATTATGTGAAGTCAATGAATGTGCGGTAACATCTCAGGCCCTTTGTTGGCAACCAGTGCGGTGAGAGACCGCTTCCATGTGGTCCGCCGGTGAACATCCCCATGTTGGCGCTTCTGCCTGGCCGTTTTCCTGAGTTCCTAGTAGCGTCCTGGAGTTTTGCAACTGCGTGACATGTCCCAATTCGGACTTTTCCATAGTGTGCCCCACTGGAACTGGAACAAGGAGTGTGTTTTGATGTATGGACACTGTGGGCTGCAATGTCCCTTCCCCTGAATGGAACCCCACAAGAGTCAAAAGGCAACTGACACTGATCCTATGTGTTCAAGAGGCGAGGAACACGCAGCGCCTTTTTCTGGAAACGTCGACCCACTTGGTGTGTTTCCATGTATGGGATATGCTGGAATTTCCCCTCGCTGAACTACTTGGAGATGGAATCATATTTGTCAGACATATTTTCCAATGATCCCATTTCAAAGTGTTTCAAGACAAAGGAAATCGACCCACGTTGTTATCCCTTTTGGCTCAAGAAAACCATATATATATATATATATCAGTTCCTTGTGGTTCGGTAGCTAGCATGGGCAGCTGTCATTTCGCGTTGTCATGGGAAGTGAAAGAACTATTCGACCAACCCCGCGAGTCAATGCTAATGTCGCCAATCTGATAAAACTCCCCGCACACCGGGGCAGGTGTGAGCTTTGATGTCGAGCTTGGTCAGAGTGGTGCCAGAAGGCCAAGAAGAGTTCGGAGGACAGCAGGACAGATCTAAAGGAACCGGAAGGTACCTAGCGCAGTGGCAGTGAGTTTGTACAATGGACCGCTGCTTGTACATTCTTACCGGAAAACCTGCATGACAGTAGATGGCGCGTAACATGCAAGCACTAGATCTGCGCTCCATCACAGGCCGTTGTACCAGAAGTCTAGTGGGACCTTAGATGTTTCGTTTGTCTTCCCGGAAGTCTTGCAGAATACTTCCGACTTTCATGTAACCATGCACTCCAAGAATAGATCAAATCGGCAGACTTCATTCAAGGCCGCCAGCAACTATTTGCATTCAGCCTTCGACACCTTTGACTTGAGAAGTAGATCGTTGTCATTCAGGGCCAAACAAAGGAGCCAGCATACTGAGTATTGGTGGAGTCAGCGCAGAGGGTTGGAAGCGCTGCACGCAGTGAGTTATCCCCAAATCTAGCGTCACAAAGGCAACGTTAGTCAGAGCTTTTGGATGGAGATCAAGTTCTGGAACCTTCAGGTTGCGCTTCGCCACCCTGGCCGGAGCATGCCATTATACCTGCCCACATTGACGAAGCAGCAACCTTATCGACTAGCCCCACTTAGCAAGGTTCAGCGCTGCCGCAGCCTTTGGGCGACGCAAACGTTCGGCTTGCTCCGCGATCCTTTGCGCAATCAAGTGTTTGCCTATGGCGCACAGTTTGCATTTCAACATGCTTTGTGGTTTTAGCCGGCCCTGCACTGGGGCAGTGATAAGTAACGCTGCAACTTGCAACCGCTCTGTTGCGTTGACCCTGCCTTATCTGAAGATCTGGCCCTGATGGACTGCTGTTTCAAATACGCCAAGCGCTTCCGATGCCATCGCGCCATTTCTTTGGATCGAAGGTATCGAAGTGTGGCGACGCTTCTGGATCTGACGCACCTCTGCGTGGCCTCAACCCAGCGATGACCTCCACAGCCACATCTGGTTGGCAGGTGGGAGTTCCAAGTCGTTCAGCACTGGTCATCCAGCACCTCGGCACTGACGGAGAACGAAGTGGCCGACTGTGCAAACGGCTCGCCGCTCCTCGCAAACGTGTCCGGGACGAGCGCTTACAAAGACACGTCGTGAGTCATGTTTAGTAGCTGTTGGATTGCTCCGAGACGAATGGAGATCCCTGCGGACCATGTTTACTGAATGTGACATGGAACTTGTGGAATTCTGACGCACCATTCAACTTATGCTGGCAAAAGAACATATCCCTTCTAATGGCAACAGTCTCCCAAAGCAACAGTCTCCCAAACCGCGTTGCCACATTAATGTGCCACGTTGAAACTGTGTTGTCAAAAACACGTGCTCTGAAGCCAAATCGTCTTTAAGGTCTCAGCACTTATGATCATTATGGGCTATATAGCTATAGGTGCTCACACCCTCTCCTGGTTTGTTGAGCCAGCAGAACTTGACAAACGGCCCAGATGGAGGAGAGGAGCAGGGCCGGGCTCCGCATGCTTGCTCCCCATCCACTGGAGAGTCAGCCTGAGAAATTGCGATGAAGGCGTATTACATTGTTCGCCAGTGAACTTACCAAGGTCCTGACTCGGACTGAGCAAGAAAAAGGAGCTGCTAAGCTGCTAACCAAGTCTACTGTTGCTGCAAGCAATGAAAGAACAGGCTAAATGCTGATCTTCCTGGATGCAACGTTGGCTAAAGCTGTTTGGTTTTCTAAATACAAACTCTTTTCCCACTCCCTGATGCAAATGTCGAACCATGCAATATCTATAACATATACATATATATATATACAGTACATCTGCAAACCCAGGGCAGTTTCCCATCCAGCCTTTTTTTGTTCGCCCGAGACACGTTTAGCTTGATGGTCTCAAAGTGAAGATGGTGCTTTCTTGGCAACGGTCAGACGAAGGTCGTGTAGGCCCTCGCACCGCATTGAATGACAAAGATGTGCAAAAGTGGACGCCCTTCGATTGTTGTCGACTCATGTGCAATGCCTACCCCAACTTGCGGATGTTGCTGTGACCAAAGCTGATTGATTTTCCTTCACATTCCTTTTGCGCTTCAACAGATCAAAGTACAGTTCTGCCCCAAGCCTGCAGACAGACTCCAATGCTGTCGGGCTGAATTCAGGGACCTGAGTTGGATACAAACCGTCTGGACTTTGGATGCTTTAGCCGCTTCCTTGGTTTTATCTCTGGTTCTCCTTTCGCATGAGACAAGCTTTCAGGAAAACGCTTGAGACAGACTCACCCAACCGATTCGTTGAAGGCCCAGGGTCGCCGCCCAGGGTCGCCCCGTGTGTCTCACCCCACCGTGTCACCGTGGTGTTTGTCGTGTCTGCTTCCGGTGGTGTTGGGTCCGAGACCGCTTCGAAACGGACGTCTCGCCGGACGTCTGGGTTTCCAGAGCCGGAAATGGACGCCCTTTGAGCGTTGGATCAGCTGGAAATGGTGGACGTAGTGAGTTAGGTCATTTGCAAAAGAAGATCTATGGACTATACAATCAAAGCCTGCACAGGCGTTGAACTCACCCAAGCGGGATGTTCAATCCAGGTGTGAACCCGTGCTTGTCAGCTATGACTATGATCATGAAGTTGTAGGTCTGGGGTCAGCATTCTTTGTCATGTTCCCCGATATTTGCATCAGACCCCGCCGGAAATGTGTTCAATATTGGCTGAATACACCAGCCACCAACCTCACATCAGCGGTGCATTTTGTTTGCTGAAAGGAGCACCCCCTGCACAGGCGCACCTGGGCAGGGGCTGTACGGTGGTCAACCATGGCAACAATTCATTAACGAATTGCGCGGAAGCGTCAGCAACAAGCGAATCCGATTTCCCTCCTTGACTTGATGCTTCTAATGACAATGATTGCCAGTTGGCGGACTCCAAGTACAGTGACACTGCTCATCCAAAGGATTCACCTGAAGATCTGGCCACCAAGCAAAAGCTTTGGGACGAACATGCGTTTGAAACTCTTGCCGCACGACGTCAGCAACTGTATCCTGTGCAAAGCAGCAAGGTTGATGAGACCATCCAAAGACACAAACCTTGTGGAAACTGTATGTTTGAAATGTGACGCCTCCCTTTAAGATAAGATTGTGCCCTGGGAGATACTACCTTATATGTGATGACTCCTTGGAAACAATGTTTCACCAGCGCTGAATATAAAATGGCTGCTAGCGGCTAGCGCCAAGAAAGTATGCTTGAAAAGATCCTATAGGCGGACAGCTCCTTTGGCGAACGGCGCTTGCCCCTCGAGCTTTATCAGTCAACAAACGTCCAGCAGAATCTACAGGAAAACTATACAAGAAGAGCCTGTTTCAGGGGCACTCAAGACCTCTTGAGGGCATGGGAGAAACATCAAGAACCAAAAGGACGCCATCTTTGAACGGATTCTACCCACACCTGGTCACGTGGGCCGAGGGCCCTTTTCTATCCGCACATTAACTTTTTAAGATCTGACATTCTGAGCACCTGGAGGCAGGTTCCATCTCCATAGTGGCAAAGGCCAGCTCAAATAGAATTGCTGCAAATAAGCCCGGAGCTTTTCTATCAAATGGATTTAGATGGACCAGAAGCCGAAGAACACTGCCTATTCCCACGGTGGTTGTGACAGAATGACTCAGAATAAGATATAGTAACTACACATGCCAGG